CAAGGATGATGATGTCCAATTAACAGAAAAACAAGAAAAAGTAAAGGTCTTCCTGTCCCACAAACTCTTCAGGCTTGCCCAAAATGAAAAGTACAGGACCTTGGCCTGTGGCCCATACCATTTACATTGCGGTTCTGGCACGCCTACCCCCAGTTTTGTTTACCATGACAATTCCTCTAAAATCCTTGTATGGTCACGGCTCTCCTTCCTGACAGTTTGGATGAGTCAGATACTCCCTGGTATAACTACATTGCTGCCCATGGCTGTGTCAGTGGCCTCTCCACAGCAGTGGAGACTTAGACACCCGGCCAGAGAAGAGAGCTCGGGAGGCAGTGGCCGTTTATTGTCAGGGTGTTTGCCTGAAGTACGCGTAGGTCTGCACACAGCCTTGATCTTTCACTTTTAATAAATCTTCCTCTTATTACTCCTTCTGAGTGTCCTGTTCAATTCTTTGTTTTGGGTACAAAGAGTCTGGAAACAAGGCCCCCCTTCCGCCTCATAACCCCAGCACTGCAGGAGGGTAGGTTAGCAGGGTCGCCATCTTTGAGCCCCACCTGGGAAAATTAATCACTTAGAGAGATTGACAATAAAAATAAATAAGGATGAGATGTAGTTCAGTATGAATGCTCTATGTTCAGTGTGGAGCCCTCTCTGTCCAAAATAAGGCAATCTATTATCCAAAAAATATGAATCTTATAACGTCCTTAATGGCAACCTGTAGCCTCTCCCAACTCCAATCTGAGGATGCCTTAATTAAGGACAAACTCCACGTAGGTGGTGATGGTGAGGCAGCTGAGGCTCCTTCCTCACATTGCCAGCAGCTGATAGCATAGGACTGCGAGGTTTGGGGTGAGGGGCTCAGCTTGTTGTCTTAAGGTCTCAGTGACCTCCCATCACACTGGGCATAACATTCTACTGACATGATGTCTATGCGAGGGATTAAATAAAAATGGAAGCTGCAGTGGGTGCCGAATGAATGGAAGGTAGGAAAGGTGAAGGTCGGTTAGGCAGAGGCAGCTGTCTGTAAGGCTCTGCCCTGTCTAGAGTGAGGCAGAGACTGGGCCAGGCAGTGACTGGTTAGGGCTCAGAGTGGGAGGGGAGAGATTGCCCCAGGCCTTGAGCAAGTGGGTGGGGCATGAATGGCTGAGCCTATCCTGGAGGCTGGGTGGTCTCAGCGGGGTATTTAAAGAGCTCTGCCTCAGCACCCTCATTTCCACTCTTCCCTCCCTTTAAATAGTTCTCAGGACAGCCTTGGATAGCAGAGTTATTTGGAGAAGGTGCACCAGATATTTCACATGGCTTCCAAAGGTAAATTGTTTGGTGGGAAACTGCAGTGTGTTAAGTGTGTGGAAGATGATGCAATGCATTAGTGTCTTGTCTGGGTTGGAAATTGTATCTCTTAAAAGTGCAGGTAGGAGGATCTTAAGTTGGAGCCAAGCTTAGGCAACTTATTAAATGAATGAGAGGGGTCTGGAGATGCAGCTCAGTGGCATAAGCGCCTGCCTGGCAAGTGCAAGGTCCCGAGTTCGATCCCCGGTACAGAAAAAAAAAAAAAATTGGGGCTGAGGATTTAGCTCAGCAGCACAGCACCTGCCTGGCAAGTGAAAGGTCATGAGTTTGATTCCCAGTACCGAAGAAAAACCAAAAAATAAAAATAAAAAAATAAATGAATGATAAACTGTCTCAGAAATTTAAAGAGGCCTGCAGATATACTTCAATGCAAAGGCTTTGAGCTCAGTTCTGAATATCATGAAAAAAACAAGGAGCAGTCTAGTAGGCTGTGGACAACCCATGTCGCCAAAGTGACAGTCTATGGTGGCCGGACATTGGAATTTTTGAGTAAGACTTTCTGAGAGTATGAAGTATTGAACATGAGCCTGTGATTATAGTAAAAAAATATTGATTATATGTCCAGCTACACCATATGATCAAAATATGTGGTAAAATTTTGAATCAAAAGTTTATTATAGAAATAAAATTCATTGCCATTAGACTCTCAAACCACTCCCTTCTGCTGTGAACACACTCAGCCCATATTTCTTGCCAGTTTCTGAAGCAGCTCTGGAACTCCACTTTACTGAGTATCTTTACCAAGGATGATCAAAAGTCCCAGAAAGCTCTCAGCAGTGCCCTTCCCAGGAAAGGCAGGCTTCTATGAACAGTGCTGAGGCTCCTGCCCATAATGGCCTTCTGACCCTCCCTGTAGAGTGTGGGACTGGGCTCAACACAAATGAAATTAACCCCACCCACGGAGCACTAATTTTGCATAGGCATCACAACCCACAGCCTAACCTCCACCTCTTCATCTGCACTGAGGAGACATTTATAAGAACTGGGACAAGAAACCCCCATTGTCCGTACTTTCCACACAGGCCCTGCTTCCATCTGAGTTCCCCTCCCCCAATCAGCAGATGAAACCTGACTAAAGGATACAAGATGTCCTTGCTGACATCTGCACTGCACCCTGAGACTCCAACGATGGGTCTCTCCACCATGCCAGGAGCATCTCTTAAGGAGAAAATTTAGACAGAGGAAGGCGCTTTCAGCATTTTATCCTTAGGAAACTCTTGCTTTTGCTGTTTGCCAATGGGAGTATTTCTGACCAGGTTAGGGAAGCCTGGCTTTCTCTATAGTACTCACGTGGACAGAGACTCAGCAGGGCTGGTAAACAGCCTCCCAGTGCTCTGCTGTGCCCAGTGTCCGTTTCTCTCCTACAAAGTGAAAAAAATAAATAAATAAATAAAACCCTGTGCTCTCCCATAATTTGTGTCCTCTGATACTTTATGAACTTCTGTAAGGAAAGGGTTAAGATCCAAGACTGTATTATCATGAAAATTTCAATTAGTTTAAAATCTAATGTTTTTCATGCCTTTGTACTGCAGAATTTTTTTTGAGCTAGATCACTCTGTAGTGTGCCCCAGTTGGCATACTATACCACTGATCACTTCAGCAGAGGCCCAGGGTGGATCCAGGCAGCACTGTGACCCTTTACTCAAAGAATCCAATGCTTACCTCATTGTAGCTGTTCTCTCCCTCTTTCCTTTTGTTATTTTTTAAATGAAAATATCTTAAAATTGTGGTTAAGAAGCATGAAATTATCCTCTTAAGCTCGCACCACCTTGGCATTTAGCATCATTTCCCTTTGCTCTTCTTTCCTCTTCTTATCCTGGGCCTGTAAATGGCGCAGATCACAGCAGGCAAGTGCTCTGGTTTTCTCCATTACATTAACTACTGGTTTTTTAAGGTAATGACGAAACCAGGCTTTTGATTTCTGTTTGTAGCTTTTAAACTATGATTCATCAATCCTAGCTCTCCAGTGAAACATATGAGATGCTCAGTCTCATTCACTAAGTAGTTTTCCAGGTGTTTCTCAGTTGAGTGAAGTTCAGTGTTATAGCTTGAATGTGTCATTTAAGACATTGTTATAGAAATTTAATCTCCACTGCAACAGCACTAACAACTGTGTTCTTTCAGAAGTAATCTGATTCTGAGAGCTCCAGCCTCAGGAGTGCAACAATGCCATTAGTTGTCACTTGGTTTAGTGATGGGACAATGCTTTTGAGATTAAGGTGAAATCTCCCTGGGTCTAAATTATTCATATATATAGATCCATGTCTTATATGTCTGCACTGCTTCTGTGGATTGAGGTATATGTTTTATCCTGACAAAGAAGTACATAAACTGGAGCATCTGACCCATTTTAAGTGTGCTCTCAGGGATACTGTCCACTTTTACACTTTGGGGCACCATCCCCTCTACCCTCCCACACACTCTTTCCATTTACCAAACTTGGCACTTTGTGCCCATGAGGCAATGAGTCCATAGGGCTCTCTCGCCTCAGTCCCTGGAAGCTACCACTTTACGCAGGTCATGCCTATCAACTTGACTACTTTAGGTCCCTCATATGAGCAGAATTGTTGGATAATATAGTAGTTTAATTTTTTGAAACACTGGCATACTGCTTTCCATAGAAGCAACACCACATTGCATTTCCACAAATAGTACTAGTTTCCAATTGCTATACATCCTCAGCTACATTTTTCCCGTTTTTGAAATAAGAGCAATCCTAAAGGATATATGATGATAGAGGTCTGTGGACTTGATTTTCTTTTCCTTAGTAATTAGTGATGTTAAACATCTTTGCATGTCGGTGTCCTTTACATTGGCCTCCACTTTTATGTTTCAGTAATTTTTGTTATGCCTAAAAAATATTTCAATTTTCTGGAAATCATAAACAATTTCCTTTTTTATTTAGTTAACTTATTTATTATTAAATGAGTGTTACTAAGTTTCCCTGGCTATTTTCCTGCTGATCAAGTTATCCTCCTGCCTCAAAATTAAGAGTTTTAAAAATACAGGCCAGTACTATGACACCTGCATCAATAACCCCATTTCAAAAAAATCATTTCATCTTTATTATCTTACAATAGGCTTTCACTTTATTCATAATTTCATTATTAATAAATATGAGGCAATAGTCTTATAAAGCTTAAATTATGAAAGATTACCCACAAATGACCTTTTTAAAATGCTACTGGTATTCCCTCAGGCTTTTCCTTGTGTTTACACATTTTTCAGGATCTTCAGGCAGAAAAGATGATCATAACAAAGTACAAAAAAGACAAGGTAGAAGGTGGAAAAGAAGACCTCCACACAAATTTACACAGAATGAATTAGAGATTCTGAAACGATCATTTGAAGAGAATCCATACCCAACTCTCACTACCAAGAGAGAACTTGCCAATGAACTCCACTGCCGTTTGTATGTCATTAATGTAAGCCCAATTGTTCAAAGTTTTCTGTTGATATATATTTTTGTAGATAATATGAAAAATGGAAGGAATTATGAAAATGTTGCAAAGCATGCCACTTTATAACAGTTTTGAGAGTCATTTTAATACACTTTAGTATAGGTATGTATACATTACACGTGCATTTTATGCACAAAAAAAAAAACTTGTGAGACAAGCTCAGAAGCATAGACTGGGTAAGTATTGTTCATAACTTTCCAGGATGAGGACTGTGATGTTCAGAGCAGGGAGCTGGCTGTGGAACTCCTCAGCATTGGAAGATTTTCAGTATTTTGAATGTAGAGCTGACCATTTGCTGAGGTATTGGCTATGGAGTAGGATAAAAACACAAAAGGAAGGATCCTGGGTTCTGGCCTGAGCCAATGGGAGATTAGATTTATCTATAATTAACAAAAGAAGACTTGGAGGAGTAGCAGCTGTGAGCTAGAGATATGGAGACTATCCTTTTGGACATATGAAGTTGGGTATGCCCCTAGGAGGTGAAAGTAAATAAAAAGGTTACATATGACAGTACCAAGCGCAGTAGGAAGGACTAGTCTTGCTCTTGTCAAGCACTTGACGTCTCTCAGTGTTCTAGGTACTTCAAAATCCTACATGGGATAAAGCAGTGTATTTTCAGAAGGGTAATATACAACAGTATTGTTTTTGTAAATTACCATTAGCTGCACAAAACTGTTCCACATTTTGAGGTGGCTGAGGATGTGGCTGAGAGGTAGATTAGTTGCCTGTGTGGTGGAGGACATAGGTTCAATCTCTAGCATTTCAAACCTAAAGCACAATTTTATATACATTTTTAAGTTTTCTGTACATGTTTATTTTGTCATTATCTTTGGATCATTGTGTATACTGGTTCCATGGAAAGCAGAGGAAATTTCCTCATTGGAAACAATAAAGGAATATAAGAACAGCCTTGGAGAAAAAAAGAAATCTGTAGCAAATTCTCTGTAAACAATGCAGTTATAATAGTACAAATTTCATGAAGTGGAAAAACTTAAAAGGGCACGCAAATTAATGATTTGACAACTCAATAGAAAATCTGAGTGAGGTAATGTGTGGAAAAGGGTTTTGGATTAAAATGAGGCTCCTGTCCTTCGTGAATGCCCATGATGTGATCCAGAAGCTTTCATGGAAGAGGACAGGGTCACAAGACAAAGTGTTGTCTTCTTTCTTGGTGGCATCCTATGAGATCCACCTCCAAGTTATTTCTGTAACCTCTGAAAAAAGTTTCATTTTTGATCCCGATGTGTCTGTGCACTCTGATTTTGCGAGATGCAAAAGGAAGCATGTCTGAAGGAGTCACGTTCATTATAAATATGACAAATTTTTATTAGGCAAAGATGACTGCGGATCCATGAGCTTTCCAGCTATTATCACAGTGCTGAATGTGGAGACAGAGCCTCAAGATAAATGCAAATATCAAAAGGTTCCCCAAACCTCAGCCTGTGCTTAAGTATTTAACTGCACCACCAGCAACCTAGTTAATCAGAATGGATAGTCTACAACAGCATTTTGTCATTTGCAAATTCCCCCCCACCCAAAATTTTTGGGACTCTGATTTTCATGAAAGATTATCATCCTTTTATGGAGGAGAAAGCACAGAAGGCAGGAATTGTCCTATAACATGTTTAGGGTCACATAAAACATACCGCTTGGTTGTGAAAAACTCTTCTTTCTTCTGTGCAAGAATTTTGAATACAATGAATTTAAGAATATAACTGAGGATACACTGATTGTAAGGGTATCATGGTAGGACAGCGTGAGCAAAAAGGACGGTGTAGGCATGTCTTTCTAGGAGAGTACTTTGGGAGAGTACTCATTCTAAATGCGGAAAATTATAAATAGGTTGCAGACCTGTCAGGGAAAGATTTTGAATACCTCGATTTACATGTCAAGAAGAGTAATGCAAACCATAAAAGTAGTTGGGGGTTTGGAATAGTATGCATTTCAGAAGGGCCATAACAAGTACCATAGAAGGTAGGGTGCCCTTCATTTGCCATGTCACCTAGGGGTCAGGAAGCAAGATATTAATAATGCTCAGGCCAAGCTGACCTAGAAAATGTTCCTTCAGTTTAGAAATGCCTTAGATATTCTCAGAAAACCAACTTTGATTAATGTATTTTTCTATTTTCTCTTTAGAATTGGTTCAAATCTAAAAGGTATAAACTACCACCTGCAGAGAAAAAGAGAATCTTTGCCATCAAGAAATTGAACAAGTTCCATGGCGAATCGTCTCAGTTCCTGGTCTCCCCTAGTAGCCAGCCACAATCTGACAACTCTTACATGAGACAGACTGCCCCGCAGGACCAGAAGACACTACTATATACAGCTGGCTATTCTACACTGGAGACACAGACCATTCCCAGTGGACATGTTGACTCAGGTGACTCTGTGATCACAGGTATTAACAAGGAACCAAGATGTCCCCCCGAGTATAAAGGTGACCCAACAAGTGGACCATCTTTGACCTACACACCAGGCAAATTTTTCTATACATCTGTGCAGTATTTTGAAAGTGTCAGATATGAGGCAGAGGAAAGCTGCCATTCTCTGCCCATCCTTTCCCATTATGTTTTCACTGGCCAGGGCACAGCCCAGCAGCAAGAAGAGGGCAAAGACCATTATCAACATATGTCATTTCAAGGGCAGCAGCCAAATCCCTGGAGATACCATCTGCAGGAGCTATCACAGCCTCAGTATTACCAAGAGAATTACCAGTTGCCATGCCACAACCAATTTTTCCCCTGCCAGCATCCAAGTGGTTTAGGGCAACAAGAGCCCAAACTGTCAGCAGAGGAGGAAAGTAATGAATGTACCCTAAGCTCTCTGCTTCAGCAGGCACCAGCGCACATAGCAGACAGGTCTCCACCACCTCCTGAGCAAGGGATGCTCAGTTTTTGCAGAGCCTTCGAAGTTTGAAATGCAGCACCTTGAGAATGGGTGTCCATGGGTGGAACCGTAGTGCAGTTACAAGTCATAGAAGGGCTGAGAAACAGTTGTACATCATGCTGTCTCCTGGGAGGTGAAGAACTCTGCAGAAACCCTCATTGTTAATTAGAGTAACTCCCACAGGCTGATTAATACAAGGATTTGTACATGTGTATGAAGTACTATTTTGAGTCAATGAACTGCATGTCTACACAATTACATCTGTCAAATGTGGCACTGTTACATCTAGCAATTATATTTATTTTTATTGATTGCATGGGGGAGAACTGCCATAGTATACACATTCCCAACAGTGAGAGGCCACAGAACTGTCTGCATTGCCCAGTTTCAGCTTCACCTGGGCTTGTGTATTATCAAACGACCACTTTGGTTTCTCTTTCAGGGTCTCAGTGTCCTCTGTTTTGTACAAATGTTGGGTTTTTAAATGCTTTATTTCCTGTACACTTTTTTTTTCCACTGAAATTATCCTTAGGGGTTTGGAGTCTATTCAGTGTTAGTATGGAAACTGTGCTTTTCTTACTATGTTAGTAAATTCTTTTATGAAATGATATTTCTTCATTAAAGTTTTAAAAGTTTTAGTGACTATGTCTGCCGTTTCCTTTATGGAAAGATTTCTGTGCATTCTATATTTCACGTGACTGTAAGACAACTGCTTCTTATTGAGTCATGTTTCCAAGTTGGGTTTTTCCAAGAATAAGTTCATTTCACCAAAGACTTCAAGTTTCCTGCCATGAACTCACTCCAGATATCCCTACACCTCTCAAGCTTAGCCCACTGTCCTACTGACTACTTCACAGTTAGACTTTTCATATGTTCCTGACCTTATATTGCTAAAGGTTTCTTCCCAGCATGAGCATGAGGGTCAGAGTCGGGTGCCAGCAAGCCAGGCTCCTGCAGTTCTCCAGCCATGGATCTACATTGAGTTACTTCTCTAGGGGTCCACTCGGCAGGAGAAATGTTCTCAGTGGAGCTGGGGTAGTGGTGACCAGAACAAGACCTTGTGCTGGGTCCAGGGCATCCATAGAGTTGCCTGTGTGAATACCACAGTATCAGGTGTAAAAAGCCTGGGACTCTGTAGTGGTCCACTGTGACCTCCCCTACATGGGAGTTGGGATGTTCAGGAGAAGGTCTCAGTTTTTGCATTTTCATTTTGACCTCTCCTTTTGACGGGTGTCCAGCGCCCCGTCATGGGCACCCGTGAAAGCAGAGTGTGAGCCTTAGCAGGAAGAGACCTTTGCAAGATGGTCGTTCAAGTCCAGAGAGGGCTTCAACTCCAGGAAGGGCAATTGGGATTTATTCCTCAGGACTTATATCAAATTACAAGCACTGCTGAGGAAAGTGAGAGCATTGTTCTGGAGGGAGAATTGTGACTCATTCCCTACTATGCTTGCTTAAAACTTCTTACAGGTTTTAAATGTAACACTTACATGTGGTTCCAAAGGGATAGAGCCTGTGCAAGGTCACTGGGGCCTCACAGAGCAAACTCATTGCTCAGTAGCAGGAGTAAAGACCCGGGGACTGAACAGTGTCAGGTGCATAGATATCTGTACGACGTTGGCTGGTGAGGAAATTTAAGGTCCCTGTAATTTACTGCCACTCCTTTAAAGCCTCTGTGCAATGCAAGAAGAGAGCATCCAGTCTATTCCTCTCTGACCTCCAGTCAAGCTGTGGTGCAGCGAGCTCTATGTAGAGTTTCAGGTGCATGACCAATTCAAGCTCTAGTAAAATGTGCAATTGCTTGGCTCAGGAAGAAGTGTTCAAAGGAAATTGCTACAGGAAAGATAACAGTTGTTTCTATCGACTTATATTGGTCCATCTGGATTTCAGGTCTTCCTTCCCTTCGCGCCTTTGGTAACCCAACCCTGCAGTGTTTGAAAGGTATCCATACACGTGATTCCGATGCCCTCATAAGTGGGAGAAGCCAATAGCACATCTCTGAGGTATACATGCAAGAATCAAGGTCACAGAAGATCTCCCTCTTTCTCCACTAAACAGTTGATAAGAAGTGAAACTGAGTTTTATAAAACCAAGACACACGTTGAAAAATACAGAAATGAATCATTATGGTTGTTATAAAATTTATTCATTTCTGCTTCCATTTTAACCCACAATAAAGATTCAAATTCTATTTGCAAAGTTCAAACTCCCTCTCCTCACTGAAAAGTTTTATAAAAGTTGGGAAATTCTCCTTTAGACATTATATAATTTACTATATAAATCAATGTACAAACATGTAACCCGAGCTACTTTAGAGTCTGAAGAAGTATTGTAAATCTGAAGAAATCCAGGAAACTAAAGTAAAATTCACTCTTAAAATTGTATTGACATGTAGATGAGGGGCAGGCCATCCTTGGATATAATGCCTAGAGCCACACACACACACACACACACCAAAAAATTAATGTAAGCATTAGGAATTTAACCTTTGCCCATCACAAGTGTCAACTTTACCACTTTGGGTAAAAGATACATGTAAAAGACTCTGGACTGCCAACTACAATTGCAAATCCCAGTATCCAATTTCAAAACATTCATCATTCCATAGAGTGGATTTACCACTGAAAAACAAGTGCCCTGAAATCGTGCATTCCTGCAATCATGGGTGTGATGTAAAGGGAAATCAATGGTGAAAACAGATATTTTGTATTATCGCAGACAGCAAAGAAGCAGGCAGGAGCTTCCCACTTAAAGTGCTGCTTAAATTCACCCTGAGGAGCCAGAAAGAGCTTCCAGGTGTCTGTGGAAACTGGAAGCCAACTGCATGATCCCCAAGACAGGAACCTTCCAAAATGCATAGTGGATGACTGCTTAGATAAATATCTGTTGATTTAATCACTTCTGTGATATTTCTCACCCCTGAAAAGGCCTTTGAACCTGGGTGTAGTGGTGCAGCCGTGTTATCCCAGCACTTGGGAAACTGAAGCAGGATCACTACGAGTGAGAGACCAGCCAGGGCTACATAATGAGTTCAAGGCCAGCCTGCATTACAGAGTGACACCATCTCTCAAAACAAGGACTTTGAAGGACTTCAATTAAGAGGTTTGATTGTACCAGAAAATGAGGCATCATCATCAAACCTTACCAGATATAACTTTGCTTCTGAGATCTCTAATTTGTCCATATGCAACATTCTTAACTCTATGGTATTCAGTTTGTCCAGTTTCCTAATATTTAGGCAAAGGCTTACTGATTAATGTAAGGAGAGACTCACCTTACCCTGTATCACATTTTCTGCAGCTTTCTTTAAATATATGGTCTTCATTATGTGTTGCTCTGGCTATCTATGAAGTTGGCTAGTGTACACTCCCTAGGTTATCAATCAGTCACAGATGTAGGTAGATGTAGGGGTTTCTGTGAATGTGATTTATTTGTTAGTACATGTTTGTGATACATATACACAGTGCTTTCACTGTGGGAATGTGGTCCATGACGCAAGTTAAATTTTTACACCCCTTTCTATCCCCACCTCCTGCCCTCTCCCCGATGTCCTGGTCCCCTTCCCATTTGCAGTGATGTATGAATCTGTTTCCTTTTATCTTTTATTTTACTCATTACTTTATCCATACTTTGTAATTTTCAAGTGAAAGAAGCCATCTGGAATTCAGGCTTGTGTGTCTGATTTCTTTCACTTAATGTTATGTTTTCAAGGGTCACCTGTTTTCAAACAAATGTTTCAAATTACTCCTTTACTGCAGAGTAGTATTTTACTGTATAAATATATTTTCTTTGTCCAGATCTTCCACGTAGCTCCCTCTTCACTGGGGTCCCTGTTGGGGTTTTCATTAACTGCACAATTTCCTCCTGTGGGCAGAGAATTTCCTAACCAAAGCCTTCAAAACTGTGGCACCACCCTAACTTGTTCCCTGGTTCCAAGTTTCCACCATTCCCCACTGTATACCTGCATGGAACTCATTGTCCTGATCGATGTAGGGGGTAAATACCATGGAATTCTCTGTGTCTTTCTTCCAAGGGTTTCCCAGTCCTAGTTTCCAGTATATTGTCCTGCAGTCCCCGTTCTTGGTGCTGGTTTCTGAAGCTATATCTGCTTCAGCCTTGCCCACAGAAACTTGTCATCATTATGTATATCTAAATGTCGCCAATAACAATACCAATTAAAATTTTAAAAAAGATAAACAGAAGGATGGTGCTTTTCCACTCTCCAGGCAACCCAGAGTCATTCATCTTTGCATCCTTCTCTGATTGTCCAACTGAATCTCTTTTTCCTTCCTTCTGCCCTTCTCAGCTAGGTGTTGCTGGGTGTCCATTTTCCCTTGAGAACCTGCCTACAACTGTGGGCAGGACAGTGAATGTTTTGTTGACAGTACTTCCTGTTTTAGATGGGAGGAACATGGAACTTGCTATTTTCATTAAAATTATCTGTTTGGGGGGAAACTTGTCTCACTGGTGACCCATTGTCCATAGGCTCTGCAGATGGGTGCAACAGTCATTATACCAAATTCTGATTGGCATCCTTGGGTCAGTGGGTTGGGATGCCAACCATCCTCATGAGAAACTATGTTGATAAATCAGACATGTCCAGTGGAGAAGACAGCTTCACGCTGGGTGTATTTAAATCTCCATACACCCATTAGCAGCCAATTTGCTCCATCACTCAGAACCTTTTCCAAGGGCTCAAATGCCTGAGTCTAAAGAGTCCTCATGTGATCCACTCCTGGACCAGTTTCCCCTCCATTACCCTCTAAATTCTGTATTTAAGTTCAGTTGGTTTGTATTTTTCTTTATCAGTCCATGTCAGACCTTACCTTTCACCCCTCCCCACCACAGGGAAACTGCTATTCTTCAGCACCAAATTGAAGGTACTCACTGCAGCCATCATGCCCACCCAAATCATCAACTGTCCAAGTCTCTGGGAATGTCTTCTGCACAGGTTTTGCATAAATCCAGATGAATTTAACTAAGGTGGATTAGAAAATATAGTTTGGAAAGAACAGATCCAATCAGGG